GTCCGTTAGGTTGTCGTCCGGGTTGGGTGTGGGACAACTATGACTGTAGGGCCGTAGTGTTAGCGAGATGAGCGGCGGGCTCCCATGTGGGCTCGTCGTAGCCCACCCAATGAACAAGGTATTCTGTTTGCCTGCGCCTTATTCTCTCGTCCGTGATGTCTCGTACTGTCCACTCTAAGTGTTCTTCATCGCTTTCGTTATCTCGTACGACTACAGCAGCTGGATTAGTGTCGTCCGTCTGCTGTGATGGGAATGGATCGTCAGCCACCGGACGGAGCTTGTCCATATGGTAAGTTTTCGTTTCCCACGGTACGGCTAACTCCACCCAGTAGGGATCTCGTACGCGAGCAATCTGGAACTTAGCACTTTTCCAATCAAGTTTCTTACTACTCCTTGTCGTACGAATATCCCGTAGGTCTAACCATACCCAGTCTCCTACGCGGTAGGTGGGCGCCGGTCTGCGGGACTTATTAGCTTGTCGTTCTTGCTCTTGTTAGGCGTACGTCATAGTAGATATAGCCCAGTTGGCGGCATCACTAATCGTCCGGACGATATCCTTTGCAGCTTCTCCCACTTCGTCGGCTTGCGTGACCGTTTAGGGCTGAGGAAAAGGAGTATTATAGTAACCATAGTAGAGGAAAAAGAGGGAAACTCCTATTATTATATTCGTACGAGAGTTGAGCATAAGTTCTAGAAGAGGGCAGAGTTATGCCTAGTTGTCTTGATCATAGTTGCAGAAGATCCGTATTACTGCTTCTATATCGCTATTAGCGCGCTCTGTTATTCCGTCCGTTTATAGGTAGTAGGCTGTTGAGAGATTTCTCTAGATACTAAGTAGCTAGCAGACTTATTTCCAAAGAGAGCTAGCGAATTGAGGGCCGCGGTCGGACGTGATAGACTGTGGGAGGCTATGGTGCCAGTAGACTTCCCGTACGAAGGCCCAAGCGACGTCTGTTATCTCAATCTTGTCCATAGGGATTAGCACGACGCCTTTGCCTAGTCTGTCCTTCACTACCATAAGGTTGGTTTTTCCTTAAGAGCTAGGTAAACCCGTAATAAAGTCGACTGTTAGATGTTGCCACGTACGACTAGGAACAGGTAATAGTTTTAAGTACCCATGTTTCCCGTCCCTCCAGGGGGTGCTTTTCCTGCAAAGCTCGCAATTCCGTACGTAACGGCGTACATCGGTACTTATATTTAGCTAATACCATTCTCTTGCGATAATTCTGTATGTTTTCTCTCGTCTAGGATGTCCTGTTAGTAGAGACAAGTGCGCAGTCTGGATTACTCCTGTCCGGAGTGGTTCGCATTCAGGTACCCATACTCTATTACGCCAGCATAACTTGTCTTCGGCGTTGATCGTGCAGTCGCCTAAGGAGATAGCAATCTTACGAGAGCTTAGAAGAGATCGTTTTCCTTCCCATACAGCCGCTCTTATTTCTTGGTATAGAGAATCTTCTTGCACAGCGCTATCCCAATAGGCTCGTACAAGCGTAGGAAAATGTGGTGGTCGCGGCAGTGTAGTCGACACTAGGGGAGAGACGTCTTCTTGAGTGTCGGTAGTGTCTCGTACAGGCATAACCGCAATACTTTCCTAGGTCTAGGCTGGCACTAGCATGATGAATTCTCTTAATGCTGAATGCTCGTCTAGGTCGTCCTTCTGCATATCTTGGTCTCGCCTAGATAAGGCGTCCACCCGTACGTTCTCCTTACCAGAGCGGTAGCGGAGTTTCATATTTAGGAAGCGGGCTAGTTCTAAGTTCTATCGTACGTGGCGTTCGGAGAGCTTTTACTTATGAGTGAAGTATTCTAGGTTCTTATAGTCCATAACTACTTCAAATTCTCGTACGCCTCGTAATTCAGCGTCCCACTCTTTCAGGCAGCAGATCACCGCTAGTAGCTTCTTGTCGTGGATTAGGTAGTTCGCTTCATGCACTAGTAGCTTTCAGGAGAAGTAAGCTATCGTACGTAGGGTACCTTCGTCGTCTTCTTACAGAAGTACAGCACCTATTGCTCGTCCAGATAAGTCACACTCTACTACTGTCCGTCTGTCTAGGTTAAAGGCAGCTAACACTTCGTCAGAGAGGAAAGCTTCCTTAAGAGCGGCAAAGCTCAGCTCTTGGTCTTGGCCCCATTCGAATTTAGCGTCTTTTCTTATTAACCGTACGAGAGGTTCTACAAGTCTTAAAAAGTTAGGGATAAATCTGCGATAGAAATTGGCGAACCTAAGAAACTCTCTTACGCCTCGTACGGTAGCTGGAGCTTCCTATTCTTAAATAGCTCTTATCTTCTTAGTGTCCATTAAGACGCCCTTCCCTGCTTTAAGGATAAATCCTAAGTATTTCGTACGTTGGACGTTAAATTCGCACTTCTTAAGTTCAAGCTATAGTCCCGCAGCTTGTAGACGCTCGATTACTTGCCGTACATAGTCGTAATGTTAGGATATTGAGCCATCCGTATAGATTAGGATATCGTCTAAGTAGGCGGAAGCGAAATCGTCTAGAAACTCGCGCAGTGTCTAGTTAATATAACGTTGGAATGTGCTAGGGGCGTTAGTAAGCCTAAAAGGAGTAACTAGCCACTCGTACGACCTAAACCGGGTGCGGAAGGTAGTTATCCATTCCTAGCCCTCCGTGATCCGGATTTTGTGGAAGGCGGCCGTGACATTAAGCTTTATATACCACTTTACTCGTCCAACTTAATTTAGCGTCTTACGTATAAGGGGTAGAGGATAATAGTTCTTACGAGTTAGTGCATTTAGGGCGCGGTAGTCTACGCAGAATCTTAGTCCTCCCCTAGGTTTCCGTACGAAGAGGACTGGTAACGCGGCGGGGGAGTTACTTACGCGGATAAACCCTTTCTTAAGTAACTCGTACAGTGTCTTGCGTAGTACTAGAAGTTCATCTCTAGACATATTATAGAGAGGTCCGTACGGGACTTCTAGCAGCTTCCTATCGTCTTTAGGGATCAGTTCGATCTTATGGTTAACGTCTGGACCTTGTAGGGGCGGGAGCTCGTCTCCTTCCTTTGGGGTAAATAGAGAGGCGTACTATCGCAAGTATAAAGGAAGTAACTTAGTTACTTCTGCTATAGTTAGCTGCGTCTTCGGACGGAGAGCTTTCTCGATGTCTTAGAGACTAGTAGCGAAGACTTGTAGAGCTGGCTGTTTTCAGCTTCGTCGTACGTGGGCCTGAAAGGCGGCTGCTGAGATTGCAGCGAAGTTCTGTAGTGGTTTGGTTCTCTCTATGCTAGGTATAGAGAGATCGTAACGTGGAAGAAGAAGTGTTCGTCCGGCCGTATTAATAACACCTCCTACATCTTTAAGCTAGGTCTTCCCTAAAATAATGTCGTACTCGTACGTAGACGTGGTAATAAAAGCGGCTGCTTTTCGCTTGATTCCTCTAACATCTACAGTAAATTGAGTAATAGCTCGTACAGTGCTTTTCTAGTTATTGACATCTTTAATTTCCCTAGTAGGGATAGATACGCGCGGCAGGTTAAGTTCTCGTATAAGTCTTTTATATACTATCGCATAAGTGCAGCACCTATTATCAATCATAGTAGTAGCGTTTTTTAAAAGATTAACGATTACGTCTATAGACATTGGCTGAGTAGGCTTTAGTTGGTGAAGTAGCTCTTGGATAGGTCGTACGACCTGCTTAACCTGCTTTGGCTACCCTAGTCGGCGTTTTTGGACTAGGGCTCCTCTTTTCCCTCGTCCGAGCTTTCGTCTTCTAAGGTAGCAGCTAGGACTTTTATCACGGTCTCTAGCTTGCGCGTGCGTTTTGGGACTGCTGCTTTACACTGCCGTACGAGGTGGCCGTGGATGCCACAACGTAGGTAGCTGCCCTCCTCCTTGCGTTGAGTAATTTAGCTTTATGTACCCTATTACTCGTTTCTCGTACGGGGACGTATAGCGCCTACATTAGGCGTCCAGTCCATTTCGTCTACGGCAGCTGGGGTAGACGTAGGAAGAGAGGTAGAGTAAGAGGGCGCGTTGGACGAGAGTTAGTTAATTACCTTAAGATTCTTCTAAGTGTTTCTAAGTCGATGAACAAAGGCGTCGTACGTCTCATTTAAAGGAGGCTGGTACCTAGCTTGGTAGCGTAGTAGCTTTCTATTGAGAGAATTCTTAAGATAGTTAATTTTCAGCGCGTTATCGTCTTGTCCGAAACCAGCTTCGTTAAACTTTAGGTTAAAGGCTCGTACGTGGAGAAGAAACTTACCTTTTCCTTACTTAGTTATACGGAGATACTATAGAGCTTTTTACTTAATTAAAGGGTCTTCAAAGAACGCGTCTAGTTACTTCTAAAGCTTACTTAAGCTAGGTAATACGTTTCTACTTATGAAGTCTTGTACGTAAGCCTGTAATGCTAAAAAGGCTAGTCCTCCCATCTAGGAGATTATATAGTAAGCTTGGTAGAACTTTGTAGGGTAAGCTAGATAATCCGCTAATAGTTTCGTACAGATCTACATCTTCTACTGCGTGTATTCTTCGTGTGAACCTTTCTCGAAGATTCTAATATTAGGGAGTCTAGCTTTTCTAAACTCTTATACGGGCGTAGTCGTAGCTAGAGGCTAGCTAGGAGGTTGCTGACTTTCTATACTTGGCGTGAGATTAGGAGTCTGTGCGTTAGGGGTAGCTTGCCCCTATACCGTACGGAGAAAAAGGGCTTTCATCTCTTAGAGTTCTTCTCGTACGCCTTCAGCGTCCTTAAGTCTTATAGCTATCTAGTCTAGGTTTCGTCGGAGTAGATTATTCGTTGCATTTAGTTAGCTCCAGCTTTCTATGAGCTCCTCGTACGTTAGAGGCCTTAGTAGGTCGTTACTAGGTTCTAGGTTTGGCATAGACTCATGTAGCTCCATCGTTATATCTTACTCGTTTTGCATTCTCAATTCTCTCTCGCTCCGTACGAGAGAAAAGAGTAAGAGAGGTTAAAGTAATCTTTTAGCTTATATTATGGGCGGAGAGGCCTAGCGAACAAGTATGCTTCTACCTATCGTACAGAAGCTAAAAGATAAGAAAAAGAGAAGATAACTAAGTACAGACTTCTCTTATACCTACTCGCTTCTGATCACGTGTCCGTACAGAAGGTATATCACGTGGTCGAAGATCACGTGATCCCTTCAGTAGAGATCACGGGCGCAGCCCTTTACATGGAGTATACTAGGATATTGTCTAGATAGACTATATAGAAATTGTCTAGATAATTAATTAGTATATCGTTTATGTACTACTAATACGTGTAACGGCGCAGGCAAGACTACTCGGATCAGTATCGGCAGTAGCGTCACTCAGAGGCATATGGGAGTGCGTGGGACATCAAACGAGCCTTGATTCGAATAGACACCTATAGGCCTTGTACGAAAGGATATCAAAAATCTATCGAGCTACGGTATGGAGAAGGTGGGGTTTTATATCAGCAGATCTGCCCTCGGCTAGTGCGTGCCCATGTTCGGATCCCTTTCGGATGTTAGTTCAGTGTGTACTCGAACCGTTACACTACCCCCCCCTCTATTGACAGCTAGTCCCGTAGCTGTTGAAAAATTTTCAATGTTTGTTTGTTTGTCTGTTTGCTTGATGTCGTCATCCTTCTATGCAGGGTCTCGGCCAGGCCCCGAACAGCCTCCGGGCCAAGGAGAATCCACTCAGCACGTGATATTAAATCCGTTTGCTCACTGAGTATATTAACAGCACGCGTCCATACTTGCTGTCACCAAAACACCAAAAAAATTCTACTCCTCCCACACATATATATACACACATCATGCCGTTGCGTTGCCCTGCTGGCGCGCTTCCGGAGGCGTACCGCCTCATCTGTCTTCGTTCA